AGGCACTAAGCTACCAGAGCTCTTACTCTGCCTGTTTCTGCCATAAACAAACTCTCTATCAGGCTCAAATGCTTATTTACATATGTCTCACTTTTATTTCTGCCCTTTCTAAATATTCGTCACAGGTCATCATAATTCCACAAATTCATGTTCTACCTCAACTCTCTTGTCATATCTTTTCTCACGATTTCATAGCCTCTCTCCTTTTCTTTGCTTTTTATTACATTATAACTTTAATCCAATGTTATTATATTAATACTTTACTCCATCTTTTTCCATCTGATGTAATTTTTTTCAGAGATAACTCTAAGTCAATTTGTAAGTTTCTGAAGATAAATCAATTAACCCAGTTCATAAAACTAAAGCAGACAGGTCAATGGCCATTTTGCAGATGGCTTGACTGATTCTCTGATCCATCTTCTGAAAGTACCACTCATCACTAACCATATCTAGTGATGAGGTTTTGTTGGAGCAAAATGTGTCCACTGATCCACATGAGGAGTTTGGGTGTCAATGTAATCTAGGAAGTATGGGTGAGCAGGCATCCTACAAATGTGTCAATTCTTTTGTTTTTCCTAGAGTTCCCAGGATATAGTACGTGTTTAATACTCATTGATTTACTCATTGAAATTTTATCATAGAAATAGCATGGCTGCAGAAAGTTATAGAGGAGAGAATAAAACCATTTAAAGGGTGATATCCACACTTGTGAACAGATCAGCTGCAAATATATTCTGTGTATAGGTGATTATGCTTTGCAAGGGATTATTAAGCTAAAGAGACTCAATAAGAAGAATGGGAGTGAAAGAAGAAAAAAAGAATGTCATATGTGGTAATAAACGAATTTCTTCAATCTTTTATTTCACAAGGATGACCTGTGGATGATACCTTGAACATGAAAAGGAAAACCTGAATTTACTTTGTATCAATAGAATGCTAGCATTTAATAATTAAATGGTCCAAATTTTAAGCTGATAGGGCCAAAATTCACAGAAGGCAGTTCATGAAATGGAAAACTGAATGGGAAATAGAAAATACTTGGCAAATACTGTGTGTAATCCTGGGGACTCATTTGCTGGGTAACTGAGAAATTCATTTAGCAGCTCTGTGCCTTTGCACATCTTTTCTAATGAGGTAATAATATCTACCACCCAATGCTGCATGATTATCTCTATAATAGATGATAGCGTTAAACAAGTTTTAGAAATTTTACTCTTAATACCCCAAAACAGTGGGGTGCCTTTACATCTGATAACTTTAAAATCTAGGAGCTCTGGTAGCATAGTGCCTAACGCACTTGACTGCTAACCAGAAGGCTGGCAGTTCAAACCCACCAGCCACTCCTTGGAAAGAAGTTTGGGCAATCTACTTCTGTAGTGATACTGCCTCAGAAACCCAAGGAGGAGTTGTTGAGGATCTGACTCAACTGCAGTGAGTTTGATTTGGCTTGGTTTAACTTTAAAATAAATTTTCAACCTTTACCTAGATATTTTATTATCTCATCTCATAGACTTAATTTATATCACATTCTGCAGACTCTATCTCCCATATAATCCCAAAAATCTTGTTCTTTTATCCATACATTCATTCTAGGACATTAAAGTATACAGCAGAGTCATCTGAGAGTTTATGAGAGACACTGATTACATAATACAAGAGAAGTAAGTGTTCTTTATTACTGGAAGAGGATTTATTCACCTTGCAGAGATTGAACAGGAAAATACTGAAGTAGATTTTTACTAAAAACTAAATCTAAATATTAATTATATAAAACCTCTGAAAAAGAATAGATTTCCTGACAACTGTGACCCATAGAAAGAAAGGCAGGCATTATTGAGAGACCATCTGCCTCATACTTGGCATAACTTGCCTTACTTAATCTCAACTCCTTAAAAGTTATGGCTTTTAGCCTGTGTTACAGATTTAAAAAAAAAGAGGCACTGAAAGCAAACTAAAACCAAAAAAAAAATAAAAATCAAACTCACTGCTATGAGTCGGTTCTGACTCAAGCAACCCCTCCTTGGGTTTCCGAGACAGTATCTCTATGGAAGTAGATTGCCCAGTATTCCTTCCAAGGAGTGGCTGATGGGTTTGAACTGCCAGCCTTCTGGTGAGCAGTCAAATTCCTTAGGCACTACACCACCAGAACTAACTAGTGAGAAATTAAATTAGTCCCAAACCCAAGTATGAGTTGTTGTCTTCTAGACCAAGTCTATTGTAGCTTTTAAGCCCAGTGATTTTCCAACTTTCAGAATTCTGTAAGAGGATATCTGGAAGATGTAATGTATTGGATAAAAATCATATCTAAAAAAATATTTCCACATCTGACTGTCATCATTAACACCTAGAGAACTTTTAAAAACAAGGATGTGTAAACCTCACCCCCTGAATATTCTGATCCAGAAGATCTAGATAGTTCTTGGAAATCTGATGAACAACCAAGTTTTGAAATTACTGCTCTAAGTAGCATCAAATCCCAAGATGTATTGATTTTATAAGAGAAAACATCAACATTTTTTAAATTTTGTTTTGAGGGACAGTGTTCCAGTTACCTAGTGCCACTCTGATAAGAATATACCATAAATGAGATGGCCTTAACAAACAGGAGCTAGGGGTGTTTCTTCACTCAGACAGCTGCTGGCTGCTGAGGCTGATCAGCCCAAGGTTGACAAGTAAAAAGGCACTGTCCTGATGTTACCAAATCACACAGCAGGCCATTAATTTAAGTCCATTGTAAGTCCCATGGTCAGCAGAGCATGGCAGGCTACTGAACAATGACACAGCTACGTGCAGGGACCAAGCATGCCATAAGCTAGAGACTATCCCCAAGACTTCTCCTTATATACAGGAAGCAGACCACATCCAAAGGCAGCTACTCGGCTGCTTGTGGAAGATCCCACCATGGAGTTGATTGCCAGTCCCACCATGGGGAATAACTACTACTAGCCACCCAGCCACTCAATCAGGCCCAGACAAGTTGACATACAAATTTAACCACCACAATTCCACCCCTTGTCAACTTGGTACCTGTACAGATCTTCATTGGGTGGCATCTGTACAGAGCTCTCACTAGGTGGCTCCAGTCCCCTAGTTCCTCTAAATGCCAACCTCATCCCCTTAGCCTGGTGGGCCCCATTCTTCTCCCTCTTGGGCATGGCAGCCCTGCCCCCTCATCTTGCACAGCAGCTATGACTCCATCCCATCAGCTCACATGAATGAGCAGCCCCACACTCCAAACCAAGTTGGTGAAGGTCTAACTCTTTGAAACCTAGGGGCCTATGGTGGTTCCACACACACACCCCCCAAAGGCCATGGTCCTTCCCTTTGAAGCTAAGGCAGCTCTGCTTTCCATTTCCTTAGTCTCTCCACTTCTGCTGAGTAATGCTGAAGGCAACCTACTCCACAGGAATCTTCCTGCCCCAAATGTATTCAGCCAGCTCTCTTGCTCCGTGGACCGGCCAGCCTGCTACTCCACTTCATGCCGGTCTCTTCTACCAATTAATTCCGGAAGGCAAGCCCCTCCACCAGGAAGCTGCCTGCACAAAGTCATCCAGCTTTCTCCTCTGTAGGCTGGTAACCCTGTTGCAGTTTAATGCTGGTCTCTCGGCTCTGCTCCTGCTGTGTCTCATGCCAGTCTCTTGGCTCAGCTTCTGTTGTCTCTCATGCAGTATGCTGGGGTCTCTCTGCCAGGGTCTTGAGTCAAGAATGCATTCCACTCCTTTTTCCATATTTTAGGTATCTCTCAGAGCAGCACCCCACTCTCTCGGTACCATGTACTCTTCTAGTTACCTAGTGCCACTCTGCTAAGAATATACCACAAATGAGATGGCCTTAACAAACAGGAGTTTATTCTCTCACAGTTTAGAGGCTTTAAGTCCAAGTTCAAAGTGCCAGACTCTAGGGGCTGGGTGAAAGCCCCTCAACCTTGGGGTCCAGCTTTGCCCCCTGCTCTCAGCCCACTGGAGCTACAGATGTTTCTTCACTCAGACAGCTGCTGGCTGCTGAGGCTGACCAGCCCAAGGTTGACAAGTAAAAAGACACTATCCCGATGTTACCAAATCACACAGCAGGCCATTAATTTAAGTCCATTGTAAGTCCCATGGTCAGCAGAGCATGGCAGGCTACTGAACAATGATAAGGCTACATGCAGAATCCAAGCATGCCATAAGCTAGAGACTATCCCTAAGGCTTCTCCTTATATACAGGAAGCAGACCACATCCAAAGGCAGCTACTCAGCAGCTTGTGGCAGATCCCACCATGAAGTTGATTGCCAGTCTCATCATGGGGAATAACTACCACCAGCTGCCTAGCCACTTAACAGGCCCAGCCAAGTTGACATACAAATTTAACTACCAGAGATAGTAATGAAATTAAACATTTAATTAAGCTCTCTTTGAAGTGAAGTTTTTATAGGTGATCAAAGTAAATTGCTAAAGAGTCCAAAGTCATTAATTCTTTCCTGATGTGTGTCATTGGCTCTCTTTTTTCCAAAGACTTGTAATCTTAACTCTAGTCAGCTCTTGTGGCTATGAGAAAAGATCAAGAAGAAGGTGTAAATGACTTTGAACATACTTGTTTTTCCTTTTCAAAAACCACATCAAAGAGCACCTTCCTATCACCATCATTCACTAATAACCAACTTATACATAAAACAGAGTATTATGATGTTGCTGATGAGGACCTTTGGTAAAGGGAAATCTTGTGTCCTTACCATTTATTTAACATCCCATGACACATTCTTCAAACTGTCCAGTGCCGTGGTGTGCTTTGTACTAATTCTACAAGTACACTACAGTTAAGGATACAAGATAGAGCAGGGATATCAAAGCACTTAAGTTTAAACAAAGAGAATGCACTTAACATCAAGATTATGGGGTCAAACTAAAAAAGTTGTTTTTGTTTTCAGTCCATATTTTGAATGTTAGTTCTGCATATGGATATAGCTATATGTAAGAGAGTAACCCTGGCACATAGTCTATATTTAGTGTTTCTTCTCACTTTAGGTTTTCCTAGTCCCTTTTTCCCTCTCCAGAAGCTTTTTCACAGCCCCTTTCACATCCTTGTTCCTCAGAGTATAGATGAGGGGGTTGACACTGGGAGTGACAATGGTGTAGAACAGAGTGAGAAACTTGCCCTGGTCTTGAGAGTAGCTGTTAGCTGGCTGCAAATACATGTAGATGATGGTGCCATAGAAGAGGGAGACCACAGTTAGGTGAGAAGAACAGGTGCTGAAGGCTTTTTTGCGCCCTTCTGCTGACTTGATCCTCAGCACAGCTGCAGCAATCATGCCATAGGAGATGAGGATCAAGGAGAGGGGCACCAGAAGAAGAGCAACCCCCAGAACAAAGGCAAAAGCTTCTACTAGCATGGTATCTTCACAGGACATGGCAATAAGAGCAGGCATCTCACACAAAAAGTGGTCCACCCTGCGATGCCCACACCGAGAGAGTTTCATTGTCTGGGGACACATGACAAAGGAATTTAGAAAACCACAGGACCAGGCCACAGTCACTAGCTGCAGGCAGAGACGTGGGTGCATAACTACTGTGTAGTGCAGGGGCCGACAGACAGCCACATAGCGATCATATGACATGACAGCCAACAGAACACACTCAGTTGAACCCAAAATCATGTAGATGTAGAGTTGAGCCACACAGCCATGGTAGGTGATGGTCTTCTCTGGACCCCAAAGGTTCCACAACAACTGGGGGATAATGCTGGTTGTAAAGCAGAGGTCCAAGAAAGAGAGATTCCCAAGAAAGAAGTACATGGGTGTGTGAAGCCTGGCATCCAAAATTGACAAGACGATAATTGCAGTATTACCTACCAGTGTCAGGATGTAGAAAACCAAGATAAAAGCAAAGAGAATTTTCTCCAATCTTGGCCGATCAGAAAAACCCACCAGGATGAATGCCTGTAGGTAGCTGTCATTATCTCTTCCCATAATCTTCACCGGCTATTATGGAAACAATCAAACAAATAATAATTGGATAAGAAAACAAATGAAGACAGTAAATTTCTAAGTTCCATTTATGGACTTATGAGGTTAGGAGAGTTGTTTTCACTTGCAATACTTTCTTTAAAAAGCACTTATGGAATGACAATTATATCCAAGTCAGCATGTTACAGATAGAGAATAAATAGCTGTGGAGGTGAATAATGTATGTAAATAACAACAGGGAAGGTAGAAAGTAAAAGCTCTTCAAAAGAAGATTCATTAAAAGCCTGAGAGCTTTTCAAATAATTTCTAATTGATCAGGAAAATACTTGTAGAAGAGTTTGGATTGGGAGAGACTGCTGGAAATGAGAGTTATTTTTTGGTTGTGTTCCAGATAATGTGTCATGTGGCATACTCAGCAAACCATGCCTCAAGAAAGGAAAAGTACATCAAAAGGCTGGAACAAAATTCAAAATCATAAAAAAAAAAAAAAAAAAT